GGTTTGGATCGGTAGATAAGGATAAGAGGATAAATCTTATCCACTTAAAGTGTCTAGATCCAAATAATGATTTGGATCAGGAAACTCGTAATTTGATTAGGATTAAGCTGATCTTAAACTGCAAATAAGATAAGGGATAATCCTTACCACTTAAAGAGTATAAATCCAAATAAAGATTTGGATCAAGAAACTCCTAATCAGATAAGGAGGTTGTCTCTTTAAGGCTATAAATAAGAGAGCAGGGTGGACATGAAAAACATAACAGATACAACACAATAACCTAAAGAGTTCTTCCTTGTTCTTGCCGCCCCTACCTAGTTCGATCTCCACTTGTGGGAGTGATCAAGAATTGTTCTTGATATTGCTTCTTCGTAGAAGAAGCAATATGAAGTCGTGTTCACCAGCCCTCTACTCCATTCTTGCTGAAGAATATGGTTCTTGCTGAAAAGCCACCCTGCTGATCCTGCTTCATCACACACCATGTCATCTTCTGTGGAAGCATGTTTTGGTTTTCTCCTTGGGCGTGAACACCTTCATTGGGAGTTACTACTACTTCATATCCGGTATATCCCTCTCCTCCCTTTTGGTTTCAGATCTGCTTCGGTTTGGTTCAAGATTGATCCTTGAAAATGCAGTTTTCTAAAATAGGGAATGCGATTCCCAGATGGGAGAGAGAGAAATTTTTGAAATTTCGCCCTACCTTCCTGTAGGGTTCGGCCATCCATGTGATGGATCTCTCACTCTTCAGTGGTATCAGAGCTAGGTTCAAATCATGAACCGAATTAAACCAGATCTGAATCTGCACAAATGGGCAGATGGCGTTCTACCTGATTTCCACAGTTAGCGTTTTTCTGGAAAATCGGTTCCCAGTTTTGGGGCGATTGATCTGAAATTAAATCTTTTATTTTTTGTAATATATTTAGAACTGTTTTATTTATATTTCTTGAAATTTAGGTTGTTCGTATGGTGGAGATCGAAGTCTTTTAATGGCACAAGAAATCTGCGCACCTACTGATTTATTCTATTCTTTCATGGTCTGTAAATAATTTTTTTTTTATTTTTTAGATGGGATGTATAGGATTTGATTCTGATGTAATATTAATAGAAAAAAATAGTTTTTTTATTTTTTATTTCATGGAGATGAAGCTAGTTCGCGTAGAAGAGAAGATTTGCGCAGATAAGAAATCTGCGATCTGTGAATTGCAGTAATGGAAACTGCAATCTGCGAACTAATGGAAATGGAACATAGATTGGAGGGAATCTCAAAGATGCCCAAAATGGAAATGGAACATAGATTAAAAACCCTTTCTATGTGATGACATGAATCAATTAGGTTTTGGACTTATAAATTTGCCTTGCCTTTACCAAAAATGGCAAACAGAAACTTCACCAAAATGTTGGATGATAACAAACTCAAGGGCCCTAATTATGCTGACTGGTTCTGAAACCTTATGCTGGTTCTAACGACCGAGAAATTGGACAAAATTGCTAAGAACCCTACTCCGGACCGTCCGCATGACAGGGCTTCTGAGGCCCGAAGAAGAGAGAATCAAGATTGGGAAGAGAAAAACTCTCTTGCCCGGTGTTATATTATAGCCTCTTTAGAGAATTCGATAAGATCGAAGTGTCTAAGGATATATTGGATAGTCTAAAGATTATGTATGAAGAGCAGAACCGTTCTACTCGACAAAAGGTCTTAAAATTGTTTATGACCGCACAGATGACTGAGAACCAATTGGTTCATGACCATTGTTTAAAAATAATGGATTATATCAATGAACTACAGGCTCTCGGGTTAGGGCTAGATCATGACACCAAAATTGATGTTGTTCTCAACTCCTTACCTCCGTCCTTCAATTAGTTTATCATGAAATAAACATGAATAAGCTCAACGTTAGCCTTCAGGAACTCAACAATATGTTGCAGAGGAATGAAGAACTGATTAAGAAGGATAAGCCGATAGCCATGCTTGTTGAAGGTGGAAAATCGAGTAAGAAAAAGCAGAAGGCTAAAAGGAAGGCTTAGAAGAAAGGTAACAAAACTAAAAAGTAGAAGAAAGATAAGGCATCGGATGCCTATCACTTCTACAAGCAGACTAACCACTTGAAGAAGAACTATCCTCAATATCTGGAGACTAAGAAGCAACGTAATTTCGAATCTTTTATCATCGATACCAACTTGTTTGTCATTTTTTGCTTCCTGATGTATTGACTTCGGGGCTTCAACTTATGTGTGTAACTCACTACAGGGGTTCAAGATAAGCAAAAGACTGAGTGACAGAGAAGTGACGCTCTACTTGGGGACTTCTGCAATAGTTGAACCTATAGCCAAAGGAACTGTAGAACTAGTTTTTAGAGAAGGAACAATTGTACTTGAAGATTGTCTTTTTGTACCTAAAGAAGAAATTTGATTTCTGTCTCAAAATTGTGCATGGACGGTTATTCTATCATATTCAGTAATGTGATTACTATTAAATAGAATAACAAATTCCTCACATATGGAGAACTTGAGAACGGTCTCTATGTTGTCCATCCTTCTCTGGAAATAAACATTACCGAAACTACGTCGGAGAAAATCCCCAAGAAGAGGACTCGTGATACAGTTAGATAGTTATGCCCTTAGCTCCAATCAGATTGATGTATCTTTTGACATTTATTGTAAATGGATAAAGTACATAATTGATTCTTGTCATTATGATGTGTTAATGTGTAATACCCTTAAACTGGACACTTATGAGACTCATGTTGGTTTAGAATCTTCACAGTGGTTGGATAGATCTGGGAAGATTTATCCTGCCAAGGCTAACACTGATGTACCGCCAAGTTGGTTGGGGTGGCTTGTCTCAACTACCAAGGTGAGACCTGAGGTACAAGTGGTGTGGGTTTTCTTAAAACCCTAAATCGGACCAAAATTCTAGTACTGCCCTGGACCTTGGAGATAGATGGGCAAAACTAGAATGTTACACCTGATCCCTAAACTCGATTATGGTACTACACTAGGTGTCGAATCGGGCTATCTTTGATATGCCAATCAGTGAGATCCTTAGAGGGGGGCAAAACTTGGCTATGTTGGGATAGTTCAAGAATTCATCTAAGTGGGTGATCATAGTGATAGGATCATCCCCTTTGTTAGACAAAGTGAATGATCGGTGATGCACTCTCTCTGATGGAAACCTAAACTGCTGGCAGTTGATTTCAATCGTTAAAATTTGTTTTAGCAAAATATATTTATATAGAGATATACATATATATTATGGTTTCAAAATGTTTGCAAAAGGTTTTAATTCCCATGATCCATGTGAGTAGACAGTGCAGCAATGCTCCTTGCTGTTGAGGGAGAGTTCCTCTCTTGTCGGGTAGTGTTTGATCATTATGGGCTGAGAGGTTAAGTGTAAGACCATTGAGGGTAATACCTGATGGGCTAATCTTGCATCTGCCCACA